CCCCCCCCCCCCCCCCCGCACCAGCAACGACCTATTCGAAGGGGTCCTCCTGATGTGTCTATTTATTTTATCTATCCACCTAAGCAACTGTACGCAAGCAACCGTAAGCAACCGTGTCTTGTCCAGCGATGCTGGCCTGCCGACCCATGTCTGCTGCTGCGTCCTCAGCAACCTTGCCAGCTCCCCTGCCAGCAGCAACGATCGGACGAAGAGACGTAGAACTGATAACACTGTTTGATGATGCCACCGGGACACTCTCCCTCGTCTGGGGTATATCTTCGCAAAGCATCCAGAATTCGGCAGAAGCAGCCATGCCATGACAAGCGTCCCTGTCAGAGATGCCGTCTCTGCAAAACTGTGTAGGACACGAACCCGGCTTGGGAAATACGGACTCTGCGCAGTACAGGTGGGTTTGAAGCAGCAAAGGCCTCCATCCAGTCGGCTATTGCACCTGCTTCGATGCCCGAATCAGGAAGGTCAGTTGCCCAGCTGGTGGGCAATGTTGGCACCGCCACCGCACCTCCGAAGCCAGAGGCGTTGCAGATGCGATGGGGAACTAACAAAGCATTCAAGTTGGCACCTCCTAAGCCTTCCCGCCACGAAGATCTGACAGGCGCTCTCTTGCAGCCGCCACATTGCAGCATGCCTGCATGCAAAGGCGAGCTAAGGGAAACGTGACATTTTGCGTCTTCACCTGTCCGACACTATGCTGTCTGAAAGCGGGCCTAGCCGTTCCTTGTTCTTGGTGGGGATTGCTAGCTTCTCGCTCTTGCAGCTGTCATTGGATTCTGCTCTTCTGGGAGTCTCCTCTTGTGCACCAAGCGGATGGTCTCCGTTTGGCGTTCGGGCGAAGGCCTTGGCCTTGGCAGGCGAGGGCGCAGCGACGGTGATCTTCTGGACATCAGCGGCAGCATCGGCGCTCTTGCCAAGCCCTGCGGTTCGCAACGTGACGGAAACCGGCGCACAGAGTGGTGCGGTTCCTGCAGTAGGTGCGATGGGCTCAAACGAGCGGGTGCGTCTCTGCGGAGGATTGGGTGCAGTGTCCAGAGCTTTGCTGACACTCTTCTCTGCAGAGGGTTCTGCGTCGCTCTTCGGCTCCCCTTCGGGCCGATCCTTGGGTGCGGAGGACTCCGGACCCTGCTGGTGCTCCTTATTGAGATCTGGCCGTGGGGTAGAATACTTCCGAGCTGGGGCAGCTTTGGGCTTCGGAACTTCTGGCGCTTTTGGTATTGCCTGCTTTGGTGCATCTGCATCTGCATCTGCAGCCGGAAGCTGGGGCAACTCTCGGACGCCTTGCACTTCTTGGTTGCCGTCTGGTGCAACTTGAGAGGCCGCGGCTGCCTCCTGTGCTTGAGGCTCGCTCGGACCAGGTGCAGCTTTCGTCTCTACTTTGGAGGTGTTCGGCGCCTCCGCCTGCACTTCTTTGCTGGAAGTGCTTGGGCTGCATCCCGTTCTGGGGGCCGGGTCGGCAGGGCCGGCGGGCCCGGCAGGGGGTGTGGCCGACGGCACGGCTTTTTGGGAGACTTCAGGAAGGGTCGCTGGGGCTGGGGCCTCTGCCCCAGACTGCTTCCCCACTGGGGTGCTGCTCCTTCGGGGAGTCTGCGCTCTTGGGCGATGCGCTGGCCTGGCAAATTTCACGCTCGCCTCCAGCCCTCCAAGCACTGATTGACTTGACAGCACGGTGGCCTCGACTTAGGCTGGCTCTTCCCCCTGGCTCGCCGGGGTGTGGGTGTACCTGTCTGCCACATATCTGAAAGATGCAGCTCACGGTAGCCCTGGTTGCGAGCGTGATATCCCATCTCAACAGCTCCACCTATAGCTGCAAAGAGCTGATGAATGGTACTAGTCTGTTGATTGTGTTAGTTCCAACCAAATGAAATCTCGCCCTGCGATCCGAACACTGTGCTAACTGTAAGTTACGGGAGGCCACCTGCTGCTGCAAGGCCCGTCGGCCGACATCACATGTCATCATCTTCACTTCAATGCTAAACTTCATCAACATCTGGCAAAACAGCATCCTCGTTGCGACACCCTATCTGCTTTCTCAGTCCCCCTTTCACGCAAGCACTGTGCTAGCCTTAGCTGTCCTTCAGCTCCCTTAGTCCAAGTCCAAGTGGCGTCGCATGCTGCTAGCGGAGACATGGGAGACGACCGGGCGGCCGCGCCAGGGTAATCCCGCTTCAAGGTCAACTTCTGCCTTTGTCTGCAGGTCACACAGCACACACATGGGCAGGTTTCGTCTCTCACCCTTGTTTCTCAAAGCCGTCTCCAGGTTTGCTTCGTCTGAAGACAATAAAACGAAATCTACACAACAAAGTCAGCGAACTAGATGACCTGTTATCGACATCGACTTTTTCCCTGGTGGGCCGCGGGGCCGTGCTGATCTCTTCGAACGACTGCATCCCTAGATCTCGCGAGTGGACAAGATGCGACATTTTGCGCACGGCACTTCCAGACGGCTGCCTCCAAGTCGACCTCCCATGCCTCGTAGCAGCTTCGGAAGCCGAGGAAGCTGGCCTAAAGCTTCTTGCTTCGACAAGCCTCGCCGGCCCTTGGCACAAGCGGCAGCCCTGTGATTGCCGCAGCACGGGCTCGCAGGGTGCTCGCTGCCCACACAGCGTTCTTCGTCCAGGAGAAGCTTTCCGACATCCGCACCGGCTGATGAAGTTTGGCTGATAAACTAGCTGTCTCTTTCTGCAACATGGTATACATGAACAGTTGCTTCTGCACTTCCCGAGAAAATCAGCCAGCAAGATGACCTCTCAAATGCAGAGTCTGTGAAGTGTCGCGATAGGCTCAGTCTGAGGGTCCGGGAGGCTTGTGCACTCGAACCAAAGCGGATAGCTCCCCTGCTTTGCCGTGCCCATGCGGGGAAGCATGGAGATCATGCCCATCGGCCCCTACGCCTGCGGGCGTGATTTCTGACAAACCGCTGCTCTGAGCATCCTTCGAGGTCCAGTCGTAACAATGGTCCTAATCCTCTCTCCTACCTGCGCTCGAATTAAGGTGACACCATGGCTTCGACGTGGTGCCGTGCTATCTGGGCTGCTTCTCGACCTTGAAGGCATGGTAGCCCATTCCCTGACAAAGTCGCTCGGGCTGCACTCCTCCTGGCTGTGCCCTCGCTGGCCTGTCGCACGTAGCGCGCCTGCACACTCTGCCCAACCACGTCCTGAGGACAAGTGGGTCCAGTGCACGATTCATGGCCAGACCCGGAAAGACTCGGTGCAGACAAGCTGCAATATGTTTCCCGGTATGCGCTCGAAGGAAAATCGTGTCTCCTACCGCCTCAGCAGGCATGCTGGCATCAGTAACGGCCAGGTAGCAGAAGCATCAGCCTTCGACATAAGGGGCGAGCAATGGGTCGAGGAAGTGCCCCGGAGTGCTCCACGACGAATTCTTGTCGGGGGCCCATGTGGGCTCCTCGAGCACTGACCTTTCAGCTCCCATCTACCACATCCTCCCTTGAATGCAGCCGTCGGCTACTGGTCCGGCCTCATCTCCGTTCACCTCTAGCTTGAAACCGTTGGTGTTGGTCAGGAATATCCTCCACCAATCTCCGCCATGCTTGGTATGCAGACTTGTACATCAAGGTATGTCGGTCCACCGGTCCTGTCACCATGGTAGACATCGCCAACGGACCGCTTCTCCACTTTGAAGGCTTGACCCGAGGCCTGGCCAGCGCGGCAAAGGATCCTCTCAAGTCAGGGACTCTCCCCTAAACCCTAACCCCTAAACCCCGAGACCCCTAAACCCCTGAACCCCTAAACCCTAAACCGTGAGCTCAGAGGCTTCAACCGTGATCCCCGGGTCGGTGCCTTCTCGGACGAAAGGGCTCCGACGTGGAAGTCGCGGATCTGCGATGGGCGCGAGGTTTTTCTAAGAGCCAAGAATGCAAATCCGTCTTAGGGCCCGAACTCCGAGGAGCTTCCCGTTGTAGGCCCTTTGACAAGGCAAAAAAAAAGGCAATCCCAGAGTCCCAGAGCTCGAGCCTCAGGTAGATGGTGTCCCCAGGCTTCACAACAGGATTCAAGGAAGCGGGGCCGGCGTTCGCCATGTCGCCACCTCCAGTCTCGACGCATCTCGCCGCAACGCAGGAAGAGAGCCTGGCCTGGCCCTCCCCAGCTTCGCCACTGCCGAGCGGCCAACACCTGCCCACAACGAGCAGAGGGCCGAGTCTGAGACTACCTAAGAATGCTCGCTGCCGCTCTCTGCCTCAGGCGTGACCTCGGATCCTTCTGCGAGAAGGGTTGCGAGGAGTGCTGTGAGGGCACAGAGCATGGCAAGGGCGTCGGGAATGACAGCCACTCTCCAAATGTCTTGCTACTTCATCGCGTAAGACGGAGCTTGATTCGGCGCTTGCAAGTGCAGGAGGTCTACAGAGACTACACGACCTGAGCAGTGGCTGTGCCGATTCTTGCTGCATGATAGGCATGTCCGTGGCATTCGATCTACCCAAGCAGTCATGCGCCATAGAGATCAGCTTTGATTGCTTTCAGCATGCAGCCAACAAATATGGGCTGCAAACCACACAAACCTTGTGACATGTCTGGTGGCCCGCTCATGTTTTACTCTGGAGCAAGCCTTCCTCGCACGTGCCAGTCTTGTTGACAGGTCTTGGCTACGATCCCCACCCTGAGAACATTTGCAGACGAACGTGAAAACGTCCTTGTCTTAATCGACCATTCTTGGCTGCTTCCTTTGCGGTTTCGTCGCAACGTTTGCCTGGACGGGGCAAGTGATCTATTCATCAAGGATGTCGCAGTGCAAAGCCTGAGGATGTCCTATTCATACCACCATGTCTTGCTTCACTCTGCTCAATGGGGGCACACCTAATTCTTGGATGCTTAGAAAGCCAAGGACAACAAGACGCAGGCAAGCGGCTCCGCTGTTTTGGCGGACGAAATTTGTCAGGTGGTCATTGGACGGCCGGCCCAAACGGCGGACAATGCGTACGCCTCCTGTGAAGTGTTCACGCGAGCAGCGTGCCCCACAAGCTCTTCACATCAGCGGCTCCTGTTGGTAGCACCTGCCGCTTGTCGTGCTGCTCGAGCATCTTCTTCGCCTCGTGCCAGCGACTCAGGAATGCTCAAAATCTCTTGCATCCTGTTGCACTTAACAAACCCACATCGCTGCTAACCGACGTTCAGCACAACAGCTGGAAGATTAGCTTGGTGACAGAGCCGGCCTCCTCATGAGTTGCGTGAGTGTCGACCAAGTCAGTGCCTGGCTCCTGTCTGCAAGCAATCCAGTATTTGAGAGAAGCAGGCCTGCCTGCAACGGTGCTGCCTGGTAGATGATGGGCAGTTCGCCGCCGCCATCAACCTGCCCACAGGCAACCGCAACGGAAAAGAGTCAAGACGACGACAGCCGAGTGGGCAGAGCCAGTTTTGAACACCGGGCCCCAAGAGTGCCATATGCCAGATACCCTGAACCTGACACTTCCTCAGTGCAGGATTCAATTCAAGCACCTCCGACTCCCGCCTCAGAAAGAAGATCTAGGCTTTCCAGACGGGAGCGCCGCAGATCCCTCAGCTTGTCAAAGGCCTGGAGACAAGGCTCCCCAATCTTCAGAAAGCAGCAGCACCCTAAACTCCAGGCCTTGCAAAGCGAGATGAGTGCCTCAAGCTTGGCCTTCGTGTGTAGACAGATGACGGCAAAACCAGAAGAAAAGAGAGGACCCCTTTCTGAACCGAGGTGCTTTGCGAAGCATCTCCAGCCTCAGACCTGGAAGGGAGCAGCGTGGGCTTGGCATGAGAATTCATGTTGATACGGACCCTTTGTGTGCAAGGGCATTCGAGCCATGTAGTCTATCGAAAGCTGATAAACTTCATTACTTGGCTGGGCCACTTGTCTTGCAACCACACCTTGCAAGGTTCTACACATCTCAGAAGTACACACAACCGCGATTGCAATGACAAGGCCGCCAAATGCCGCGCTAGTGAATCCGACTCGCTGCCAGGTTAGGTGGCCGGCTGTTGGGGATCAGTGGTTCAGCGACAGCTTTCCTCAAGATCCAGGTTGCAGCGGAGCGCGCCATGACTCAATGCCAGACATCTATGCTCTAGCCTCCAGCTACTCTAGTTGCAACCGAGCTTCGTATCATCAGCGGGCTGTGAACCCAGGGTTTTAACGACTTGTAGAAATCGCTGCTGCGCCAGATTTCTTCGAAGACTGGACAGGGAAGAAGTGTTTTTGCTGCAGTTTTAAGGTGCGGAATAAGGCCCACAGGTGCCTCAGAGCGAACTGCACGACGGGTGTCGTGCTCTCCGCGCCAACACCAAGGCGCTTCGAGTGTTTCTGCAGGAAGCGGCTGGTGGCCACCCCCTCGCCCTGCCAAGTACGGCAAGATTGGCTCTCGAGGCGGGAGAGATCCTGCAACGTCAAGCCTCGATGGCCAAGTACAGGATGTACCATGCTAAGATCTCCTGGCAAAAAGGTCAAGCCGGAGCTTTCAAATCTGGCCTGCAAATCGTCTGGCCTTCATCTTGGCGGCACCTTGCTCCAGCTCCGGGTCCTCGTAATAGGCCTGCGCACTCTCTCTCAGTGGCCTTCTCCAGAGGGTTATACTACTGTTATACTGGTGCAAAAGACACGGCCTCCAGCTCTTGGGCTGCTGTGTTGAAGGCGCGAAAGTCCCCCGACTCGAGGGCGACTTGTGCCCAATACTCGTGAGCCTGGATACACCAAAGCATGCTGGGGTCTCGGCTCTCCAACTGTGACATTCCCGGCAACATGAACGAAGCCTCAACGGCAAAGCTGTTGTGCAAATGCTGAACCCTCAAGTCTTGTGAGATGCTTCTTAACCTGGGCAGCAAGCAGGAAAGCAGAACACGGCTTCTTTAGCAACCCACTTGGGTGCACTCACACTTCGTGTGTCCGAGAGTCATCTCACCAACATGGCTCCAATCTTTTTGGCTCCTCCACTTCTCTTTGGCCAGCAAGAGGGCCTGGAAGATTCAAAGCTGCGTCCCACTGCCCTGCTCCATAGCCTACGTTGGTGATGGGGCTCACGTGCCATACTTGCCTCCCGCAGGACGTGCAACGGCCGAACATCTTCCGGCTTCGGCTGCCCGCAGAAGCGCATCTAGGATCACGTGAACATGCTCGCAAGTCCAAAGGATC